AACTTCCCTTCATGCGATCCTGGCCACCAGCGGCGACCACGCAAATACACCCTGGACGCTCAGCTGGAGCCTCGGAGACCAACTGCGGACTCTTCCGTGACTTTGAAAACCCAGCTCACCAGGCGTAGCGAAAATCTTTGAGGTCGCGGCGCCGAGGGCTTGCTTCTGTGACAGCGGTCCCAGGGCCACGGCATTCAGCGGCCGGTCCTCCCAAAAAGACCAAAGAGAGCACCAGAAAGAGAGAGGCTGCGATGTCGTTTTTCGGGAGCTGGGCATCCGGCCGTCTGCGCCTTGTACAACATCCTCCACTCGGTCCCTGCAGACTTCTGACTTCTCAAGAGCTCAGAAGATCCTTACCAGTGCACTGGCCTTTTCCGATGTCCCAAATACAGACACTCATGTCCTCAGCGTGTATTTGAAACCTCTCTGAAGCGAAAGCTGCTGCTTGCTCTGGGCAGTGACGCGGAGAAGGAGAGACACAAACACCCAACTGAGGACTGCACGTGTGAGACGGTAGCCACAAGCTCGCGGTCATCATTGAAGTCAAACTTCGAAATGCCGGCATCGTGAGCCTGTCAGGACGTGAGCATGAGAAGGCATGACAGTCCACGAAAGTCCAACATTTTGCATGCGTCGGCCAACGACAATAAGACTGACACCAAGTTTGTGCATGCATTGAAGCTTCCAAAGTCTGCACTGAGGCCTTCAGCCGCTTCACTTCAGCACCAGTGTCTGCTCGCCAAAAAATCAGCTCGCCTGTCAGTCCACTGTCTCTGTGTGTGCGTTCCACACTAATTCAATAGCACAGCTACTTCTCGAACCAACTGTAGCACTGCTTCCTGTGCAAACTAAACTGAGAGGACGACCACTGTCGTGTGCGCTTGCAATGAAGTAGTTGGCCCTGCCCCATCTCACCTTGCAGGGCATCCGAAGGAGTAACAAAGTTGCTTTGGCAAAGGAAACAAAGAACCCAGAGACGCGTCATCGTGGGAAGAAACAAAGAGCCGGCGACTGCAAGTCGCCGGATCCAAAAAGGCTTCTTCTCGGCTCTAGGCTGCCCCGTTTAAATGCATCTCTGAAAAGAAAGAAACGCCCTGATTGCTGCCGGAAGCTCTGGGCGCCTGGAGTGCCGCCGAAGGGAGCTTGGAGATGACACGAAGCTCCTGGCCGGAGAGGCACCGCTCGCTGTGGGACAAAAAGGGTTCGAGCGAGGCCTGGATGGATTTGCCATCGAAGCGCCAAACCTCGGGCTCGGGTCGCAAAGCCCAGGAGATAAGCAGCCATGGTGGCTTCAGCTTCCTTTCTACTTCCCAAGGACTCGACGGTCAATGCAGGGGGATGTGCACCAAAGCGATTGTGTGCAGTCCTTGGCACCAGAATTTCGCACATACCCAGACATGCTCCAGAACATGTGGCTCCAAGACATGCTTGGCAAGTCTTCTCACTTGCGCCGGAATGGCTCCAGCGAGTAAGGCAAGGACACAAAGCGCTCACTGACGTCCGAAGCATTCACACCAGGAGCTGAGGAAGGACAGGATGGCACAAGTTCAGTCATGACCCTTAGTGCAAACAATGCCTGGAATTACTTGCGGAACGCAACACGTCGCAGGAACGAGCCTGCTCCAGCCCATTCTACACATCGCACAACACCAGGAAGTTCAACGCGGGCCAGCTCCCTTGGCTGCAATTTTGCCAGAGCTTCGCCACAAAGCAATCAGTCCGCGGGGGCCACAGAACTCACGCGCGCGCGCCTGGAGGTATGAGCCTCCCAGACGATGACGAGCCGGTCTGCGCCACATGTCACAAGCCACCTCCCAAGAAGCGTGAGCAAGTTTCACGAACGACGAGAAGATGTGCGAAGAAAAGCAGCACGCACTGTTGCAGCAGCACTCTTTCTCCAACTGCACGTCAGTCAGAGCTCGCACAAAACGACGCTCTTGATCCACTGAGCCTTTGCTTCTCTGCCTCGTGTGCCGCCGGTGCTCGAACATCATCGCATATCCCCAGGTGGTGCAGACCAGGTGCTGGACAGTCAAACTTTTCACATTACCCTGCACCGCTCCTGTTACGGCTGACAGCAGCCTGTGATCACAGTGCTGCAACTCAGCATACGACCACACGGTGTTCGACAAGTCTTGGGACTTGAAAGACTCAAGTCTGCCCAGGGCATACTCAGCAAAACAGTGCAAGAGCCGATGATCGTGATGACCTGTCTCGGCCATCGCCCAGACAGAGTTCACCGCCGCCTGGATACTGAACTCCGATAGCCTCTCCGAAACATGGTCCCCTGATACCAGAAACAACTCTGGCTCGTAGTATCGCGCCTTTGCAAACGCCCAAAGCGAGTTAGATATGTTCTGTGGCGAAAACTCTCCCAAGCTTTGCATTGTGGTCTCTGCCATGCTTGTATACAGAGCGTGGTCAGCACGAAGCCGAAGCTTCGCAAAGGCCCAGACCGTGTTGGCCAGACCTTGTGGAGCGAATCCTGGTACAGCGATTCTCGAAAACTCTGCCAGCCGATTGAGTTGCAGCTTCGGGTTCCGTACCTCAGTCTTTGCGAAGGCCCAGATGATGTTGGCCAGCCCTCGTGGTTGGAGTTCGGGAAGTGACTTGGCAACAGCCTCCGCCAGAATCTCGAAGAGTCCTTCTCTATCATGGTTTTTATTGATATAGGTTTTTAGGTTCTTTAAAAAAATCTCGAAGAGTCCTTCTCCATCCTCAGAGTGGAGCTTGGCAAAGGCCCAGGTCGCCTTGGCGAGCTCCACAGGCGCCAGCTCGGCAATCCGAACGCTGAGACTCTGCGTCAGGGCCCTCTGCAATCCTCCAAGGGAAGAGAAGAGAAGAGAGGGAGAGAGAGAGAGAGAGAGGGAGAGGGAGAGGGAGAGAGAGAGAGAGAGAGAGAGAGAGAAAGAGAGAGAGAGAGGGAGGGAGGGAGGGAGGGAGGGAGAGGGAGAGAGAGAGAGAGAGAGCAACGGGCAACCGAACGCAACTTCGCAGAAAGGCTTCGGGTCCTGTCCTTCGTCACGATGCTGCAGCTTCGCCATGGACCATGTGAGGTCAGCCAAGCCACGCGGATCGAAATGGCCAAGGTTCCTCTGAACCTCTGCAGACAGGATCTCCAAGATCTCTGGCTGCAAGCACCTCCAGATTCGACGCCATCTGCAACGACTGCAGGATCTCAGCCCTTCCCGCCTCGCCCTGGCGAATTTCCAAGGTAGCTTCGTGAGCCACTGCATTGGCAGCTCGTCGCCTAGGGAAAACTACCGACAACTGTTCCTGTTTTTGGTCGGCATCCCGCATCTGCGCATGGATTTATTGGCCCCCTCCAGAAGAAGTATTAACCATGAGCGCATGCTGCTGACAATGAAGATCACAATCATTGTCCTGCATCCTCTGGTCCAGCCTGTTGAAGCTACTGTGAATATTCTCAGTTCCCCAAACATAGCCTTTGTCCCGGTGTGAAACACTCTATGCTCTCGGCTGCTAGGGCGCAGCGGCGCAGCGCAGTCGAAACATCACGCCACATCTTTGGGTCCTGCACCTTTGCACTGGCCATGGTGGAGGCCAGAACCATTGCCTCCGCGAACTGACAACATGCACGAATCGGGACGTCCTATGTACAAACGAATACCATGAACAAGAAAGCATCGAAACTTCTGGCAAAAGTTTTGCGGCATGTCACTGATGATGCTAACAGTAGGGAGAGGAAGAGAGCGCAAATCGTGCTAGTATTGCCAACATTCAATACTAGGCTCCCGCAGGGACATTAGAAGGTACATGCTAGTCATGTCCTGAGGAGAACATGTCGAATAAGAATTGCCAGGGTTAACAAGCTTTTCCGTTCTATTTACTCAACATTAAGCCGGCTTGATCCTGTCAGACAACTTGAGTTGCTTGCAGGACTATTGAAATTCTTCATACTAGTGGCACGCGCAACACTCAGACTTATGATAACAGTAGACCCCAAACCCAAAGGTAGTATGATCGGCCATACTCGTGGCACCCGTAGCACTCAGACTTATGATAACAACCCAAAACCCAAAGCTAGTATGATCGGCCACAATATTATCCAAGGGCTGCGTAGTCCTTTTCCAGGCCAACAAACAAGCCAGTCCAGACGAACATCCCGTTGCAGTGCTTGCTTACATATGCCTGCATAGATATATATATATATATATATATATATATATATATATATATATTATATATATATATATATACACACATATGTATGTATATTTATATATACTTATATATTTGTTAATGATACTTTATGTGCTTGTATTCATATTTCGTATCTAATTAATCTAATTGTTTATGAATTCATTACTATTTCTGCGTACGCAAATACATCTTTGTATACATATATATATATATATATACACATACAGACGGATGTAGAAATAGATACAGGTATAGATGTAGGATATAGATGTAGATACAAATATGGAAATAGAAACAAACATGGATATAGAAACGAATACAGACTGACATACTGACGTAGATATGCATACATACGTACATTATAAATAGCTATCTATGTCTAAAAACCTTCGTAGATATCATATATATATATACATACATTTTCTGTATTTGATATCGAAATATTGGGAGGGTCTGGGTTTACACGTATACATACAAACATCTGTCCATCCATTCATCCATCCATACACACATCTGTGCCTACACGTCTTACAAGATCAAGAAACGAGGCACGGGACCTTGAGTGTGCAATTTGCTTTCGAAACTGCGGATAATACTGAATCTACCCATGTCTTCTAAGCATCCTGGTAGTGCTTCTCCTGCCTCGTCTGCCGCTAGGACTGGACCATTCAGCTGATCTCTCAAAGCCTGCAGAAGATCCTCAAGTCATTCAACAGCTGCAGAAGAAGTAGAAGCCAGGTCGCAGACTTAAGTTCTGAGAATTAGTCTGAGCTATTCTGGCCAGGATGCCGGACGCGCTCCTTGTGTCCGAATCTTGAGAAGCAACTCGGCAAGCGGCGTGGCCCTGACAGCTGGAGACATCTGCTGCGATCGCCAATGGTGGCCAACGTCCTGTGCACAGTTCAAGCCATTCAAATTTGCTTCTTTACACTGCAACTTCCTACAAGTCGCACCTGGATCGCAACACAACCATTCGCGAGCACGGCACTGCCGTCTGCACTCGCATGGGTTGCATCGTGTCAGGATGTTCCAAGATAAAACAGGCGGGTCAACCATTTGTCCCCTCTGAAACTATCTGTGCGTTTGGTTGGCGCACTTATTTTCCAATACAGCGGCACATGACATTGCTCTGCTTGAGCCCATGCACAATGGTCCGTGTGACAAGTTCAGGTCATGTTCAACTCAATATCTGCTAAGGGAGGTCTGTGAGATTCTAGGGCACGGGTCCTGTGCTTGAATCTGAGTATCACCGGCCTGGAGTCAAAGGTAGCACTGCAGGACCACACCTGGCAGTTCCAAGCACCAGAAGCACTTCGTGGAGCCTTGCCGAGAAACTGCCAGGCTGGCGGCTCCGTTGTGGCCCCGGTAGCTGCCAAGAAGCTCTCCATCCGGAAAGCTCCAGACGCAAACGAGCTTGTCCTCAGGCGACGCGCGGGACAGACTCGTGATCGTAACACAAGGTGCAGTGCAGTCCTTGCCGCAGGAGAAAAGCAGATTGTTCTCGTGGTTGAATGTGATGAAAGTCACCTGAAGAAGCCATTGTGCACTGGAACGTGTCATGGCATTGGTTGTTAGTTCGCTCTTGTGGCACGGTGTTCTTGCGTCTGTGCACCGCAAACATCTGCTTCAGGCAAATGCCGTGGTGCGCTGAAAGACGGCTTTCTGAAGGACCCATGGCTGACGAACTCCAGGGTCAAGATGGATTATCTTTGCTTGCCAAACTTTGGGCCGAAGCCAATGTCAGGTGACGATCTGCACTAAGAGGACAGTGAGAGAGCATATTACCATATCTCATATCCCCCGCTGATCGCATCAACATGCGTTCTTTTTTACAAAAATCAGCAGCACAGCGCTCCCACAGTCAACCGTGGATCCGGCCGGCCGTTCATGCCCGCGAAGTGTGGGACCTTGAGCATCGTGCCTCGGTTTTTTCTGCACAGCTCTACTCTGGTTAGAGGGAGGCCATCACGAGTTCGGCGTGGGCATGCGACAGCAGCGGCTGCAAATGTCATCGCATGACTTGATGACCCCGACACAAGAGAATTATCCGAGCCGTCGGAAGTCCAGAAAATGCAGTGTTATAGGAGGCTGAAGACAAGTGCAGAATCAAGCGACGACGAAGTCCTAGGTAAGCTCCAAGACTACAGAAGACAACCGGCCGCTCCGTCAATAGACGTTGGACACTCGACCAACAGTTATGGCCATGAAGAAGACAGAGGCGGCGACCCCGGCTTATTGACAGTCACAGCTGGTCGCTCGGTCACACCCGGATCGGCATCGCCCTCAGAGCATGAAGGAAAAGACACAAAGACATGCAGACATGCACTAACAGACTCATTTGTTGTCTTCTCGTCATCGAAACTCAAGGCCGCTGCTTGCGATCGTCTGAGCTCCAAAGGCTCGCCACTTTTGCGTGGCTGCCACATCTCCTTCGGCTTGGAGACCTGCTTGCACCATCGCATCTGCGCCAATGAGTTCTGTTTCTCAATGTGCTTGGCCACTGGCCTTCTCTATGATGGAATCGAAGTCAGCTGCATCCGTGCCGGAAGCAACTCCTTTTCTTTGCCGGGGTGCCGTCGCGTACCTGTCCGATGTCAACAGGTGTGACAGATGCCAAGTGCGAGGCTTTCCGCATATCAGCTCGATGGTCGCACGGATCGCGTCCTCAGTGTTGAGTCGCACGATCAGCTGAAATGTGCCAAGGCTTGACAGGAAATCTGACGAAAAGCAGCGCATGCCACCTGAGTATACGGCTAGGCTGCAACCGCGAGACTGGACGACTGTTGCCCCGAGACCTGCCGGGAGAACACGTTGCAAAGACCGGCCGGCTTGGCCTGGGACCCGAGGCAAAGAAAAGAGCGCCTGAGGCCGTTGGATCGCGCTCGCGCATCTGATAGTTCCGACTCATTCTCCTCCTCCTCCTCTTCTGCTTCCTGACCACACAGAAGCCTAGTCGTCTAGTAAACCTAAGTTCTTGCCGTGCTCATGAACAGGCCAATCTCCGCAACCCACGTTCCACACAAGGCCTGCTCTGATCTTTGCCGTACCAACCTGAAGTTGAATCCGACTCATCGGATGAATGCAGCGCTTCTTGTGTGCATTACACCAGTTGCAGCTTGTCAGCATACGGCTCAACAATGCAGGTGTGATACAAATGTCTCACTGGCCATGGAAGAGTGAAGTTGCAGTAACAGTAGCTTCTTTGCACGCAAACTTTCCCCAAAAGCTTCTGGCCAAGCCAGAAAGAGCACGAGCACCACTCGCAGGAGCCATCGGATCACGGTGGTCACCTGCAAATTTTGGTCACATTTCCTTACGCACGCATGAAATTTGTTCAAAGCACGGCCACGCACACACAGTCTATCGAGGAAGGAAATTGTAACTCTTGAATGTAGGCCATGGTCCATTCGCTCCTCTGGCTTCTGGAAGTCAAACCCGAGCATGTCAACCTTGTGCACACCAACTGCTACTGCATCCCTACTAGCGATGTCGGCTCATCGTTAATCATGTATGCCACATGCATATGGTGGCATTGTACAATACTGCGACAAGAGTTGCTGTCAAAACAACATAGGCAACATCTGCACAGCGCGCAAACTGGCAGAGAAGACAGGATAGCAAACGCCATAAACCGATGCCGCCCAAGTGCTTGAAGACATGGCCGAACAGAACATGATGTTGCAGTTTCAGATTACACAGCTCTAATTTGCAGGCTGTCACGAGGAACTAGGAACTGGATCCTCTTGTGCTGACACAAAAAGATTTTTACGCACAGCTGTTCCATCGGTACCTGCTTACACTCATACTTCACAGGCTTGCAGGCATACATACAGCTAGTTGTACATAGATGTACAGATGTATATGCGTGTATGCATGTATGTACACGCGCATATGTGTGAGTATGATTGTAATCAAACATGCACATCTATACTTTCGTACAGATACTGTGCTATTTATGTATCTGACTATGCAAATGTAAAGACATATGGATCTACATAACTATATATATATATATATACATGTGCAGAATCCTCCGGCATCAAGCACTATTTCGATGCAAAAGCTGCGGGCATAACACTCCATGACGCAACCATACATGAGTTTGGTTTGCAGTCTTTCGGAATTTGATGAACGGCCCAACCCAGGAAAGCGGAACGTGACCTCGTGAAGCATTGTGTCTTGGCCCTCCTTCCCTCCCCTTCCCTCCGTCCCACCGTTCCCTTTCTCAGTGGCCGGGTGATCCCTTGAAAGTGGAGGCAAAGGACATCACCACACTCGACAACAGCATCTCGCAGAGCACAACTTCTTGCTTTTTCGCCCTTCGCAATAAGCATGTCTGTCAAATAGCAAGACACTGAAAAGCAGAGCCGAGAGCAGAGCTGCTGGCAGCTTCTTGAAGGCCGCAGCATTGCAGGTGAGGACGGATGAAGTACCCGGGGTTATCGTGGAAGTTGCCGACATGTCCTTTCCATGATTTCATTGTACTTTGGACCGGTCCTGACAACTACCATCAGCATCATAACTCCGCGGGACTCACCATCCTCTGTAGTAACCAGACATGAACATGCTGAATGCCATGCGGGTCTTGACCACTATCGAAGAAAACCCAAATCCAAACTGATTTCAGGCAGTTCAAGTTGCAGCAGGGCAAGAGAAGTCTTTACAGCGATCATCCCTGAGCACTTGAAATGGGTAGGGGAGAAAGGCGACCGCGACACCGTGATTTGTGAGCCTCGACCGATGCATTCGGACTGCGTCACCATCCAACGGGCGTCATCGTTGTTACACGGCTCTGTGATGATCGTGTTGCAGGTCGTCAGGTCCACGGTGGTTACTACCACGTCCTCGCAAGTCGGGCAATGACGGCAAGAGCCTAGAAAAGCACCTGACTAAGAGTCCGGTTCCCGAGGTCCCCAGCGGCATCCTGGCCGCTCAAGGTGTGCGGGAGCTGCAAAGTTGCAGAGTCTCTGGAGTGCAGCGGAATCTCGAATGAGAAGAAGGTCGCCTCGCAGTTGTAGCTCGGAAGGAAGGCCGATAACAGTTTGTGGGATGTCATTATGAACTGTGACGTCCTTGGGGAGAAGATGCAGACGTGAAGCGTCAACTCCCAGGTCCAGTGCCAGCAGCTCCTGTCTTCCGCACACATCCTGGAGCAAGCCTGGGGCGAGTCCACGCCAAAGCTCCAGGAAGACCACGGCTTGTAGTAGAAGCTTTCAGCCGCAGTGCAGGTACCCGACGTGGGCCGTTTTGTGCCGAGTCGCTGCTAACATTCCCAACGCGCGGCTGTGTTCCGGCGGCGGTCTTCCCAGTCTACAACAAGATAGCTGTGGCGGCCACAGCCAGTTCCATGGTGGCCCTGTCTGTAGCACCTTTTGCGGGAGTTGTGATTGCAATACCACGTCTAGAGTCTAGCGGTTGTCGGACCAGCGGTGCATCATCACCCCCGTTCGCGTATGCTGGGGTACGTGAACCCAGCCGCGAGCTGTCTCCACTCGCACGTCCTCTCGGCAATCATCATCTGTCCTGCCACTGTAATGGAAGCGGCTGTGGTCGTCAAGGTACCTGTCACAGACAAGTCCAACCGAAATAATCGTCCGATCACTGTTCTCCAGCTGGACAACGATCTTGTTCACATGACGATCAAAGCGGACCCACTCATCACATCAGCTGTGACCACAGCCACAGCAGCAGCACCAGCGGAAGTTTTTCTTGGGTTCCGAAGAAATCATGGAGTAGGCCTCATGACCTTTCTGAATGTGCCGCTCCCACTCACTGGTCTTCTCGTCCCAGGTCTTTTTTCTTGGCGTGGGCAAGCCTCGTCGACGGCATCAGCCGCACTCGGTCTTGTAATTTTCGCAACCCCTGTTTTTCAATGGGGAACCTTGGAAAAAAAGGATTTGATTTTCGAGAAGAGTGTTAAAAGCATTTCGGTTGTGTGAGAGCACATCGGGCATGCAAGTAGCACACAAGTGCATTTACTCCTGATCGGTCTGGGCAGTTCCTCAAGAAATAAATAGAAGTTATTACAGGTCTGCGTCTAGTAAGGAATTCGAAACACACTGGAAAACTTTGCCGGCACCAAACCACAGTGATCACGAGAAGAGCACATTTTTGTAAGAGAGCAAAGGAACACAAACAAACCGATGAACCTACAAAACGACATAAAAGCCACACACTGACATGACCATCACAGACCACATGGAAAAACAAAGCAACAGGGAACTGACCGGCAACAAAAGCACAATAAAAAACACAAAACGCAATAAAACACCACATCATAAAATCAGACAGAAAAAACGAACCCAGAAGACCACAACAAAATTCAAAAAAAAAGTTTGAAAGAACAAACACAAATCCAAAAAGAACAATAAACTCCAATCGCAAAAAATAATCCAGAAAAAACGAAATCCAGGGAAACAAAACAGAATTCCAACACAACATAAAATTCAACAAACAAGTCAACCCAGAAAATTCCCTAAAACATAAAACCAAAAAAACAAATCACAGAGAAAACAAAACTGAAAACCCAAAACAAAATTTAAAAACACAGGGCACGGACGGAGCGAGAACGGAGGCACAAGCGGAGGTCGAAGCTTGTCTCTCGAGCCAGACATGTCGTCGGCAAGCTTGTCCATTGGGTGTGTATCAATGGTGCTCTTGCTGATCCTTCACACACGGCCCTACGTTGCCGACACTTTCGACACAGAATTTCCGAGCTGCATTGGGCAGAGCGTGAGCCAGCAGTTCGCAATGTGCCCCGTTCCGTCCTCCAAATAGCATAAATGAGGAACTACACATCAAGCTTCACAGCCATCACAGCGGAAACCATGAAGCTCTGAGAGGTGCTCCAGAGAGTGCGAAGTCAGGTCTCTCGATTCTGCATACAGTCGTGCCAGCCCAACCGGAATGGAAGCAGCTTCGCATTCGCGGCTGTTGCGCGACTCTTAATTCCGGGAAGGCAGCCATAGTTGGGTTTAGCTTCTGCCAGCCTTGTCCGGTTCGTGAGCTTTTTACAGACCCCCTGTTCTAATTGCCTGCGTGCCCACAGTCGCTGAGGCACCGTAGCTTGTGCTGAACGGCCAGGACCGGCAAAGTCTGCGCCGCAGCAGCTGTCAGGGTGCAACTTGCAGACTCCTTGATGGCTGTGTCACGAAGGAGCAGTCCAGCTTCACAGCGTAAGTTACGCAGTACTCGCAGATAAAAAGAAAGCGCGCTGCTGCCATGCAGAGCAACCAGCCGTGAATAAATCCTGAGCGATGGAAGCTCCTGGCTCCAACCTACGGCACCGCTTTTCGCCAAAACAAAATTAGGGGACCAACTGACGCTGATCGAACGATCCCTGCTGGCTAAGTTGCAAGTTGCGACTGTTTCACAGTTCCTCTTCATCTTCTTGTCTTTTTCACTTCTTACTGGGCTCAGTGCTGCAGCCGTGGTCGTCGAGGCCCGTCCACGCCCAAAAATAGGTCAGCTTCTTGCGTGCACACTTTCGTTGTGGCGCGATGGTCGAACTTAAGGTTAGGTATGATTACAGTTTCGATTTTACCAGGGATAGAAGTCTTCACTTGTTCAAGCCGCAACCACAAAAACCTCATTGACCATGCTGCAGAAGACTGAGATGCTGCCTTTCGTGGGCATCGGGACTTGGCCAGGGCAGGTCTTCTGGTTCAGTGGCTCAGCTTCATCCAGGTGCCTCAGTGCCGCCAGCAACAAGTCGACCCTCTGGGAGTTCGGCAAGG